AAATTCAAATTGAATTGAAATAGTTGTGAAAATCAAGAGGAAAATTGTGTCTCTGGACTGTGCTTAAGTTGTAAATTACAGCAGTGAACTAATTAAAGATCATGAACTTAACGTGTGTTGTTGCATGTCATGCTCGATATGAAAATATTTAAAATTTTAGAAATTCTAATTAAGATGATCTAATACCATTTGTGAGCACGTGATTTTTGCCTTATATGAATTATCCCCATAAATTCAAGAAAAAATAATTTTTTCCATTATTTGCGAATTCGTAGATTTTTGTAGCTAACTGCTTGCATTTTGTCCGTGCATGTTTAATTTTGTTTAATTCATAAAAATACAAAAAATATATTGCATTTGCATTTAGGATTTAATTTTACATTTTTAGATTAATTGGTAAATAGTTTGTTTCATAAAAAAAAATAGAACAATCACAAAAAAATAACTCATTTTGCATTTTTCTTTTAGTTTTGAGTTTCGAAATTTGTAGTTTTTCTTTTAATTTGGTTTTTAATTAATTGTGGTAATTATTAATTAGAGTAATTAACTTAATCTAGTATAATTTGGGGTTAGGATTTAGTTTAGGTTTTATTTTAATCTTGAGAAAAGGAAAGAGTTTTGAAATAGAAGAAAAAGGAAAAGGAAAAGGAATTAAAGAAATCAGATTTTTGGGCCAAGTCTCCAAATTTCCCAAGCCCAAAATCCCCTCCCTTAAACCCGTCCAAAACCAGTCCAAAAGCCAGCCCAGATCTGCCCCTGCCCGGTTCGATCCCCACATGAACCAAACGACGTTGTTTTGCCATCCCATCATCTAAGCCATTGATTTCGCTTCATCCAACGACCCAGGGACTTTCTCCTATCCCAAATAAAATTGTCCGAAGTCCATCAGTTTAGACCTAAGACCAAACAAACCCTTCTCTTATCTCCCTTATCAGATAACGCCGCCTTTGAGCGAATCCGCCAATATCACTGACGAGACAGCTCCAAATCGCCACCAAATCTCGACCACATAATCCCCATAGCCCCTTAAACACTAAACCACAACCATTTTTCCCTGAATCTTCTCCCCTTCTCCTTTATTTCGGATCTTAAAATCTGAACCCTAGATTTGTATCCCCCTTCGATCCTTCATTTAAAGGTCTGACCCCGTTACTCTCTGAGCTTTCGAGTTTGATTTAGGGCCAAAATGAGTGTTGGACATTTGTTCTTGCAAGAACAAATCGACTAACACTCCTCTTTGCCCCAAATCGGAGAACACTGAAGTCGTTCAAGCCCTTCTCCTGCTTGGTTATTTTAGGTATTTCTTCGCCTTTCTTCATTTTTCTATTCTGCTTTTCTCATGTTCCTCTACGTCTGTCTCTCCCCCTTTCTATCTCCTATTTTCTTTCTGTCCGCCCTTGTATGCATTTCAATTTGCATATTGTGTGTTTCTTCTTAGTTCTTTTGTTTTTCTGCTTTTGTTAGTTTGAATAAATGTATTGCATGTTTAAGATTCAAGTCACATTAGTTAATTATCAGCATTTTAGTTAGTACTTGTCTTCTTCAGTATCTTGATTTCATTTTGTTGTTTCTTTTTATCTGTTTCATTAATTTTTTCTTTTGATGCCAAAATGGCAGAATGGTTTGGGCTCACTTGTTTTACGGCCTGTGATTTTCTTATCACAATATGGGCCTCAAAGGTTCAGAAGCCCAAAAGGCTATAGAATTTGCTAATCCGTTTAGCCCAAGGCCTTTGGGTCATTTGTCTGCTGATGTTTGGAAGTAAAAACAGGGGTATTAAGGGGTAAATTAGGAAATCTAGGGTAAGGGAATCTCAGTAACAGACTAAAAGCTTCTAGGAAGCTGGGATTGGGGTTAATTTGAAAGCTTGATTTCTGAACTAAGGGTATCTAAGCTAAAATAAAAAATTCAAAAGGTTTAAAGTGCAAAATTGTTTTCAGCATTGCTGCCCTAAAACCTTGCTTATAAAGGCACCTTTTCTTCAAGCTCAAGTTAGATTTTAGAGACCAAAAACCCCTGAAAAGCTGAAACGGCTGACTTCTTTAGAAATTTTTGAAATTTTTCATTCCCTGTTCAAAACTGCCAAAAATTCTACTTTTGGTTTTTGGATTTCTGATTCTTCTGTTGCGTAGAACTCTTGAAAACTCTATAATCATATTGTTGAAGTTGAGAAATGGCTTGAATCTAGTTTGAAGTTGGGTTTTGGGTTTGCTTGGGAATTACTGTTCCATTGCTTATTTCGAGTTGGTTTTGCTGGTTTTGGTTTCCTTTTGCTGGGTTCTGTACTACTGCTTCCTCACTTCTTTTTCCTTTCAATTTCCAGGTACATATCCTTGATTCTAGATATGTAAAGATGGTTGATGTGAGTTTGGAAGAAATGAAGGCCTCCCTTCTTATTAGTTGTTTCCTTCTTTATTTGCTTTGTTCCACTTGATTTGTTGGCTTAATTTTCCTGTTATAGCATGTTTAAAGTAAGGTTATGCTGTGAATTTTGAGGCTTACATTAAAAAATTGTAATTGGGCTTTTGTTTGGTATTTGTTGATTTCAATTTGTTTTGGAGTCATTTCTCATGAGTTGGATCGGTTGTATTATTGTGAGATCAATATGGGATAGCTTTAGGATCTCTTTTGAGTGAATGTGCATGCTTAGTGGTATTAGATCCAAAGAGTGTCTTCATAAATAGTGCATATCTTTATGTTTCCTCTTTCTGTACTCATTTGCTAAAGAACAAGTCCACGTGGTTGAGAATGTGAGTGTGATTTTGAAGTCCAAGTATTTTATATGCTAATTTTTCTGGGTTATGATAGTATTGAGAAGAGCTTAATCGAAGTTTAGGTTTTCTTAAGTAGTAGTTAGTGTAAAATGCATGTGATAAGAAAAGGAAAAAATGGTCGAGATTGCTTTTTAAGGTAAAGGCATGCAATGATTACTTTGATTGGCATATGAACATGTTTTAAGTTAAAACTGGTATCTGAATTTCAGAATGCTTGGTTAGTCTATTTGGGATTCAATTAGTTAAAATGCAGAAGTAAAATGTTAGTTCAATGACATGTTTCATTAGTTTTGATTGAATTTGCATTTTGATTGATTTTGTACCAACGATTGAGTTCTGAAATTTGGGCTTAAAGTTGGCCCAACAAAGGAATGTCCTCCCTCAGACTCATTTGGTATGTTCTGAATCCTTGACGACTTTCCTCTTTAGAATTGGGCTCACCTTGGACCCAAGTTGGAAAGCATTGACAAATGGGATTGTATACTCTTGTATTTATGGGCCTGTCTTTTAATTTTCCTTCCGAATGGGGTTGATGACCTAAAACGTTTTCTCTTCTTTTAAATAATCGGCCTTGTTTCTCTTTAGAACATTTCCCTTTTAATTAGTTTGGGCGTCAGTATAAAAACAGAATTCAGTTTCTTTTAATGTTCAAGTAATTAGATCTCTTCAATTAGTTGAGGAGTGTCGTATTAAGCAAAATATAGTTATGGCCCTCAAGAGTTTAGTTTAAGCTCCCTTTTAAAATTAGAAGCGAGGTGTGCCGTGCCAGATAATAATCTCAAAATGCACGGCCCTCATTTAATTAATATTTTTAATCCTTAGAAATGGAGGTGCGCCATTTAGCTGAATTTTCCATGGCCCTCGCAAAGTTGAAAGTGCGTAGTTGCTTTAGGCGCTCTATTTAAAAATTACCTTCCTAAACTCGGGTGTCCATTTTATGTGACCCAAATTCAAATCTTAACAACGTTAAATAAAATGTGTCTCGGATTGCGGGTGCATTTCATGTGACGTGGTCCAAAGACGTGTTTTAGATGACGTTGAAATCTTCCTTAAAATAATTAAAAGCGGTTTAAAGTTAAAATGCACATAGGTTTAAAAGTGTTTTAGAATCAGATAATTAGGCCAATAATAACAGTTGAGCGACCGTGCTAGAACCACGGAACTCGGGAATGCCTAACACATTCTCCCGGGTTAACAGAATTCCTTATCTGGCTGTGTTCGCGGACTGTAAAACAGAGTCAATCTTTTCCTCGATTCGGGTTTTGAACCGGTGACTTGGGACGCCATAAACTATCCCAAGTGGCGACTCTGAATCTTTAAATAAATAAATCCTGTTTCGATTGTCACTTTAAGTTGGAAAAACTTCCTTATACCCTTCCGGGGGTATTAAAAAGGAGGTGTGAGACCATTAACTATCTACAATATACAGAGAGTATTAACCTAATTAAGGGAGAAGAAAATCACGGAAGAGTCAAGGGACATCCCTGTCAATTAACATTGGAAGCATAATAAATTTTTGAAGTTGAGTCTAAGAGTCTGTTGAATTGAAACTTTATTGAGTACTTAATTATAAAATAATTATTCTTACACACACTTAAAAGAGTTTTTAAGGACATCCAGCTTTAGTATGATGAATAAATTAACGTAATGAAAATTTCAGCAAACCAGTTGAACCGCTGAGCATGTGACACAAACTTCTAAGAATTAAAATTGGCTCCTAATACAAAAAATACAAATCGTCTAACAAAATTTTTAACTCTGGGAATTAATCAAGCATGCAATTTTGTAATTGGGGCTGAGACTTTCATGTAGCTACAATGCTGTTTCAATTGAATTGAAAATATATGCCATTACTTAAATGTACATATGAGAATAATTAGAATTTAATTTTCAAAAGAAAATAGATGTATGAAAAGAACCAGTTTAAACTAGGAATACAAATTTATTTTTCTTACTTTACTTTTTTTCCATCTTTCTTTTCTTAGCTGAATATTTGTTACGTGTGAAACACGTAGATAGAAACTAGTAAGTTTAAAAGAGCCTGTTTCCCAATACAAGACTCATAGTAGTAGATGACAACATTTAGTCTTATCATTTCAGAAGTCTTAGACACATTATCGAAGCTTGGGAAATATCGTTTGTGCTTCGTATATTTGCTGAAAAATTATCACAAAATCAATGCATATGAGCCAAAGAAAAACTTGCACGAAAGGACGTATCATATAGCTACGAGATGGAATACCTTGTTCACTTTGACATTCCATTAACAATCTTAAAGGCATTGTTTTGTTTTCAGGACATCATTAATGGATGATAACAATCCTTAAACTGGAAACATTTTATTCAAATGGTAACTTGAATGCCATACAATGGCAGTTAGATAGGCTATGTACAGAATAATGGTAGTGACAATTGGCAATCAACTTCCAAGTGAATGATAATGCCTTTGCTTCCATTTTGACCTATTTACAGGTTCTTCTTATAGAATACTGAAAGAAGAACATGTCAAGTCTTGGTTAACTCATCAGGTCCTGTGCTATTAGATTGCAGCTCAGACTCATTCCGTAATGTCGCCAACCAGGAATCAACCTGCAAAAAGAAGCATCCAGGAAGATTAAAAAAGGAGTGCATGAACCTATAAATCAGATTTTGGTGATTCCCACCTATTTGAGAAGGGAACAATTGATGGATTGTATAGTTATGCGGCTGATAACTGTTACTCGTTTTAGCCCCACAAATAATTGTGTAGTAAGTATGTAATATATTATTTTTTCCAACCACACTCTAGTTATCAATACTCCAGCTGAAAATCATGGTAAGACAAAATAATCTTCAACAGCAAAGCATGACATGAACGCACCAGCAAATGTGTAACCCAAATATACTGTGACACCTATGCTACTACTTTCCTGATAAATACATCTCGGTCCATTTGTTTATAATGATCTGGACTTGAAAATATCTAACCGTCCAGAGGAGACTAATTTGAAAAGAAAAGATTCCAATAAAGCATTTTTATGTCCAGAAATCAAGGCAATACTTTTAGACTTCACTACTACCAACAGGCACTTCGAATTCCATCAAATCATGCATAGCAATAATGGAAAACATCAATATTTGCAGAGAGGTGCATATGAATTCGCATTTACACACATGGTCCATCTTTTATACTTCAAATATCAACATATAGAAGAAGGAACCAAGACTAGATAATCGCAGTTAATGATCCAGACACAAACATTACCTGCATTTTAGAAACACTAGAGCATTCGTATCGCAGCCCATGACGAGTTGAGATGTAAAAGCAATATCGAGTATCACCATCTTCTCGTGTCAAACAAGGCAGGGCTCCAACTTCAACAACATCAGATAGGAGGGTTGAATCTTGAGGGCTCAGATCTGTACACGTTTCGTAGTTTACTCAAATTTATTCATGACATAACCTCTATGCAGTGTTAAGAGATATCAGGAGATTCTTCATGGTGTTAGGAGATATCAGAATGTCCAAGTACATAAAAAAGATTTTTATGGCAGCTGATTAAATCAAGAGAAGATAACGAGATGCATGGGCTCATGAGGAACTAAAGAGATATGCAACTATAATCCCAGCATAATAACGGTGATACATACCAATTACAGATGACAATTTCTACATCAAGATGCATGGAGCTCATGATTAATTACGTATACGCAACTATAAGGTCAGCCAATCCCAGTATAACTTAACTGTGAGGTACTCCAAATGGAGATGATAATTTGTACCCTTACAACCGGTACTTTTCCTCTTCACCTACATGCATGAACAGGGGAATTGGAGGATGAGCTTTTGGAATTTTATCAACCGTATAGACTGTGGGGCAGGGGAAGATATCATATGAGGTATTCCCACATACCAATGCACCATTCTCTACCCACAACAAAAAGTATTTAACTCCATATTTTCGGATAGCTCCAACTATTTAACTCATTTTACGGCTCTCTCCATATGTTTTCACATCTTTAACCACTGTCTTCTACATTCTTGTGACTGTTTCCATTCTCTCTCTTCACGTTTGTTGGTCTATTTTGCTAATATAAATTCTTCATTGATTATAAACTTAGACGTTGAAAATTAGAGAAGAGAAAAAGTACAGTTATAGAGCATTGAAACCAGCAAGGACACTGGACAGTGCAAGTGCCCCTTGCCCACTGGTGGGTGTGGACAGAAATTTCACCCACCTGATCATGAGGTGTGTGTGAGATTGATGGAATCTTTGAATTTCAATTTCTAATTACTAAAAGTACCAATCAACCAAGATTCAAGAACAATTACAGCGTGTCAAATTATATGAGCAAATTTGAGGTGGGTCCATCAGACTACGATGAATACCATCAATCAGCATAAGCTTATAAGATACTATAATTTAAGATTGTCTGGACTTCCCCGATAAATAGTTGCAAGATTCTGCCTCTTATGGACACTCAAAATTGACCAATAAATGGAAGAGGCAAACACACAGTGTAATGGTACAGCATCATTGGAATAATACTTGCATCAAAATAGGGCAATACCAAAAAATGCATGGAACTGAAAGTTTCAATCAGATTACCAGTGGATGATGAATACAAGAAAATACACAATCCCTGAAGGACAAGAAACCTAGGAAGCCAGTCATCAACTTCAGTGTCATCGTCGATTGGAAGAGGTTCTCCTGGTAAAGCCGCCCATCTCTGTCGAACAAAAGGATGAATAAGATTGTCATATATTAAAGTCTGAAAAATCCAAGACATATCAAGAAAAGGACAGATGTTGATCTTTCAGTACCGTTCTCACATATAAATAACCCGACAGTCGAGCAGACTGCAGTATTTCATCAACATGTTCTAATCTGTGAAGAAAAAGATATACATAGATATATCAGAACTGAAATAAGTGTATTGCTTAGACAAATCGATGACTTCTCAATAAAAGACACTGGAGGTTGTTCCAAAGGATGCTAACATATTGATAACTCATGCCCTCTCTCATTATTTAGAAAGCCAGTTATACCTAACATTTAGATTTTCTATACCTAGCAATGACGATAATATTCACTTTCCCAATATGTTCTTTCTTGTTTCAAAAGCATGGACCAGAAATGCCTTCATTGAAGAGAACTCTCACATTTCCTGCTCCTATTTTATTAATTTATTTATTTTTATAATATAATGACAGTGTCTTGTCCAGCTTGTGCACCTCGACTAATCCACCGAGTACCAACTGCCTCCCACCAGCCTGGTACTAGGTGGATCTGCCATCAAGGCTTAGGCAGGTGGTGAGAATTCATCTAATGTAGCCTCTGCCGGGATTCGACCCTTAGTTCCCAAGGTGGCACCGGGGCAGATGAGAAGAAATTCCTGGTTTCTGTTTTCGTCCTTTATTATCCACTCAACTGTCCTAGATGGTTCTTTTTACCCAGATGTGGAGAAGCACCCAGAATGCATCCTCTTACCGATGGATTTTCATAAATCAAAGACTGAAGAAGTTCACATGTGGGTAATTCGGGTGTATAGGTCAGTTTTATTATGCGTTAAATGTCGTAGTTCCACCTTAGCACATTCGTAAAAAGATCCATGTTTAAAGGCTTATTCACCTAAGGAAATAAATAAATAAATAAATAAATAAATAAATAAATAGTGGCGAAGCTTCTATGCTTTTGCCGTAAAGCAATTAATGCTGGTTAGATTTGTATCAACGCATGTGTTCATACTTCCTATTAAACTGATAATCTACCTCCAAAGAAGTGAAAAAATAGGTCCTTCAATTACATTATGCAGGAGGCATGACAGTAACTTACACCGTGTTTAAAACCTCCCTACATTACAAAAGCGTTGTCGTAATGAGAAATTAGCAAAACTATGTAACCTAGAAACACGACTGCATTAACCTCCAAATGCCTTGGAATCCATGCCACAGGTAATAAATCGAAGTACAATCATATCACTGAGGCAACCACACCAAACACAAATGCATTCAAGAAAAAAGAAAGAGGTGCACAAGGCATAATGTGAGAGCACAGTGAAAGCATCAACACATACTGAGCTTTTAAATGAGCTTCTCTTTCTTCCAAAGCAGCAATTTCTGACCGAAGAGATTCTACTTCTACAGCAGTTAAAACTACCTGCAGGTCATGACAAACTCAATGTTCCTTCACTACACAAAGATAACAAACGAACTTAAATGGGTATTTTTTGAAAACCATATTTGTGTGTTACAAATAGTACCTAACATTCTCAAAAAAAAAAAAAACCAACAACTAACGAGGCAATACCAAGTTAGATGGTTAGATGATAAGCAAGAATAGTTACTACCTTTTTCTGACCATCTGTACCAGATATCCAAGGTAGCTTCCTGGGGCTAAACAAGTTCAACATTGATGGAGAACTTTTCAATTTTCTTCAAGTCCAAAATCTATTAATAGATCTAACCTAACAGGGGAGAAGCAAAGGGCAAAAAGGTGAGATTAATTTTGAAAAGATGACCCTCATTCACCTTTAAAATGTTTAAGTTATACCTCAGAGAAAAAAGTACCTCCCAATCTGTAGACAACTCTGGGCTCTGAATAGAATTGTCACCAAATGTCTCCAGCTGTGACTGGATAAAGTGCAGCCAGAATTACGTCAAATCAGCATTTCCGACTTATAAACTGCAAACTGCATAAAAACATCATTTTCATAACAATCGATATTTTTAGAAGTTTTACAACTGCTGTTATTGATGTACTACAATGAGAATAAAGACTCAGCAAATAATTTAGAAGGCAAGGCAGGGTTTCCGCTTATTGGGGACATAAGGTTTTGCTTCTTGATTCTGATAATCGATTCAGAGGTTTTTGACCATTGATATAAAAGTGTTCCTCAAAAAATGCAGCATGCCCTGCCATAGCCGAATCCAATAGTAGCTGTCAAGCAACCGTAAATAGTGGACATGCCTCAGATTCGGAGTACAGAACAAGTATCTCATAAACATTGGCTTGCTCAGAAGCATTATAACGGGCCTGAAACTTTCTTCAGTCTTGCGCATTGTGCTGATAGTTAAATAGCAGGAGAAAAGGTGGAGAAGAGATTGGCAACATGGCAACTACAATATCTCTCTATGGGTGGCAGGCTGACCTTGATTAGCAGTGTTATGGATAGCATTCCAACCTATTACATGTCACTTTACCCTATGCCTAGTAAGGTGCTCCAGCTCAGGAGGACCTTTCTTTGGAAAGGGAATAGTGAGGGGCATAAGTTCCACCTTGTCAAGTGGTCCAAAGTAATCCAACTCAAAGATCTTGGTGGACTTGGTATCAAAGATTTGGCAAAACACAACAAGAGCATGCTAATGAAATGGCTAGGAAAATTTGGGGACGAGGATACCAGCCTGTGGAAGAAGGTGGTGATAGCCAAACATGGACAACAAAGCCATTGGTGTACTAAACTAAGCAGAGCCCCTCATGAGTGGGGTTATGGAAACACATAAGTAACCTTTGGGATGATTTTTCACAGAATGTCTCTTTCAAGGTTGGGAATGGTTCTCATGTTAGATTCTGGAAGGATATTTGGTTTGGAAATTGCCCACTGAAGGAGAGCTTCCCTCTACTATTTCAGATAGCCAATGATCCCAATTCTACAGTTAGGGAATATAGATCAGAAAACGCATGGGCCCCTCTCTTTAGAAGAAACATGCATGACTGGGAGTTGGACAATTTTTTTGTGTTGTTGGAAAGACTGGGAAACCTCACCGTGAATGATCAGATTCCAGACAAGCTCATACGGGGAAGAGGTAGTGCAGATTCCTATACAGTCAAGGCAGGCTATAGGCATATGTGTGAACAGAATGGAATCATAGACTCTTGGCCGTGGAAGCTCATTTGGAGGACAAAGCTTCCCACAAAGGTTATTTGTTTTACTTGGACAGCCCTTAAAGAAGCCTGTTTAACTCAAGATAATCTTTGTAAAAGGAGTTTTCAGTTGGTGAATAGATGCTACCTATAGTCAGTCAACCACCTTTTTTTGCATTGTCCAATGGCAGCAAATATGTGGAATATGTTTCTAGCAATCTCGGGGCTTAGCTGGACACAACCTCAGGGCATTAAGGAGGCAGTAGAAGGATGGAGCAGATGGAAAGTTGACAGAGCCATCAAGAAAGTCTGGAAGATGATCCCAGCATGCATTTTTTGGTGTCTTTGGCAAGAAAGGAATCACAGATGTTTTGATGGCATTTCAACTCCAATACATGCTCTTAAAGCTAAATGTCTTGTGTATTTGTTTAGTTGGAGTATTCTAGGCCCTGTAAATAATGTTATTCCCCTTCTAGACTTCATTGGCTCACTTACTCTAAGTTAGCCCCTTTCTACTTTTGATTCTTTTTGTTAGCTCCTGGGCAGGTTTTTGTTATATTGTAATGGAGCTAACATTGATCCTTCTTGTAACTTTTGCATCTTCTTGATGCTTGCAATGAAGCAACTTATCTCATCAAAAAGTTAAATAGCGGGAGAAACTGTAAACCCCTTCGATGCCATGGAAGCTAACTATTGTGGATCAGCTCTTTAAACTGTACCTTGATGAGGTGATAGAAGTGGAAGAAGTTTATAAATAGCAATCACTTCCAATTGCAAAAGGAAGTAATACAACGATAAAGCGGAAAAAGTTGCCACTTTGCAACTCGGCATATAATAGGAAAAACAAGACCTATAAGCAGATCTACACACCAAATTCCCATAGAAATCAGAAGGCATTACAAGGAAAAGCTATTGCCAAAGAATTTGACTTTCCAGCTAGAGTTCCAACATTTAGTCTTTCTTCCATTACCAGTTTCAAGCTCCTTTTACACTCCATATTGGTTTAAATTTATGTCGATTATCCGTGTCAGCTATACACTCTACTCCTCACACTAGCCCAGGACTCAATAGAAGGCCAACTTTGAGCTATATACCACTTCTAATTGAAGGCCACCTTTGAGCTTTACCTCAAACTCTGTATTTCATAACTAAAATGTCTAGAGTACAATCGGTGAATCATAAAACTACTCGAAAAGTAACCTAAAGCTGGTACCAGTAACCAATTATGAATTAAACACAGTCGAGCATAATCCCCAACGTGATCAATCGATGGATTAACTACCACTAGATCCCAATCAGTTGGCATCCGCTGTACAACTTACACATGAAACTCAGCTAAAAAGAGGGGAAAATCAAGTCTATTTCTAAAGGGGAAGCAACGTTAAAAAACAAATTAAAGCAAAATAGAAACTAAAATTTCTTTTAACAACCTAATGAAGAGCTAATAATTTCTCGACTCACAGGCATTTGTAATACAGCTCAAGCCTTTACATTCGATAACCTAATTAAAGCAGGAAACAAAAAAGCTTCAAAATTCACAAATTTCACCTTACTTCTACTAGGAAGATTATTATGCTAAAACAACAGAAAAAAAAAACTAAAATTAAATTCAAAAAACTATCCTAGTGATCAAGGAAAAAGGAAAAAATTGAAACCTGTATTGGTATGGAAAATTGACTAGGCGAAGACGAAGCTGGGCTGCGAAGGGAACGAGGAGAAAACTTCCGGCGATGGTTTTACGAAATCGTTTAAAATATGCGGTAACGGAGACGGAAGTTATCATCTTGTTTGGTCTCCGTTATCTACGATATAATCCGTCTCAAAACTTTTTTAGTATTTTTTGTAGTATAAATTTTTTAATTTGATTAATTTTCAAAAAAAAAAAAAAAAAAAATCGATGCACAAGGGTGTGAGGGAGGGTCGCACACCAAGAAATGTGAGTCACACAGCCTAGCATTAGTGCTACTTAGTAGCGTATGCAGAAATTTTTATAAGTGATGTCATCATTTGAAGAAATGAACAAATAAATAAATCACTAACTACTAACATCGTCATTTTTTTTCTTATTAGTTATACGTACATATTTACAGCAAAAAAATTGACGAATCAATGTCACGTGACACCATTTGATTAAGGTTGTATTGTGGTCCGGGCCCAGCCCGGGACTGCAAGACCGTGGGCTAAACGGGCTGGTCCAAACGGTCGGGTCTCAAGGGATCTTAGGAGCCTACTATGGGTCGGTCCTCCATGTTGAGACCGCGAACCCGGGACCGTTTAGCCCGGGACGGGCTGGCGGGCCTGGGCTGGTTCAACCGGGCCCAACGACTATTTTTCAAAAAAAAAAATTAAAAAAATTGGCCAACGGTTGGAAGTTTAAAAACTAACCGTTGGCCTGCCAATTTAGCCATTTGGCCCCCAAACTTTTTATAATTACACTTTTTCCCTATTCTCAACTATAAATACCCCCTCATTCTTTCATTTTTACTCACAAAATCATCAATCTCTCTCTAATTTTCTTCTATAATTCCTTACTTTATTATTGCAATTTTTGAAAAATTGTGAAGTTGGTGAATTGAAGTATTCAAGTCTTCAACGATATACAATTTTCAAGAAGTTGTTCGTCAATTCGGTAAACTTGTTCCAACTCTTAAGTTTTAATATTATAGTTTTGTTTGTTTTAGTTTGTATAATTATAATTAATATGGACTTTTCTTTGAAAAAAATATTTGGTGGTAAAGGTAAGGGAAAATCTAAAATTGGTAAATCTAGTGGCCAAGCTACTACTCCTCCCCCGGCTCCCCGACGCAAATCTATTACCCGTCCTCCTTCATCTATTATTCTTGATAGTGATAACCCTTGTTTTCAATTTGCCGATAGTCAGTTTTGCCATGATATTGCACCAGGTCAACAATTAAATGATGAATATATGAATGCTCTTTATGGTAATCCAACTATCGATGAAAATGATGAGAAAATGATGATTTAGATGAAACGCAACCGGATTTAGATGATACACCTACTAGTCATGTTGTTAACCCAACTGATAATAATCCAAATGATGCGTCACCTGACCCTCATGTAGTATGCCCTACTTTTAATAGACAACCTTCTAAACGGCCCGAAACATCTCTTGTTTGGCACTTTTTTACTCAACTAAGAGATCAAAATAAGGCTAAGTGTAAAACTTGTGGGTCTTTGATGGCTCATAAATATACTGGAGACTGTAGTGGTACGGGTACTTGGACTAGACACATAAAGACACACCCTAGAGATAAAGCTAGATATCTTCAAATGAAAGCTGCGCAAGAGGGGACAAGTGTAGGTACTGAGGTTAACTCTAGTACCGGGTAAATCTAGTTCAACCGGGAATTAACACTGTTACCGGTGACATTTTATATTACGATCCAAATAAAGATCGTGAAGAATTAGCAAAAATGATTACTGTTATGTGCTTACCCTATAGTTTTCCTGCTAACCCTCACTTTGTGCATTATATTAGAAGAGTTTTTAATCCTACTTATAAAGGATGGCTTTGCGTAACCATAAAGAGCGCTATTTATAAATATAAACATGAATATGAAGAATATTTGCGCTATTTATTTACTCATATAAATTATCGCGTTGCTATTACTACTGATATTGGTAGAAGTGGTAATGACTGTGATTATCTTACTATTATCACTCATTGGATTGATGAGGAATGGAAAATGCAAAAGCGCATTATTGCTTATAGAATAATTAATTCACGTCACACAGGTAAGTTTATTGCTGACACATTTGCAGATATTTGTAAATATTTTTGCATTAGAGATAAAATAATGTCAGTTTCAATGGATAATGCTTCTAGTAACACTAATGCTATAGGCTTGCTTACAACTACACTAAATCCTGCATTTAGTAATATTTTTCATGTTAGATGTATTTGTCATATTTACCATTTAATCATCGGTGATGGTATGAAAATATTAAATGTTGAAATGAAAAGGCTAAAATGGCTCTTAATTGGCTTTTTTATTCAAACCGTAGAAGTAGACTTAGAGAATATTTTAAAAAATGTGATGAATTTGGCCTTAGAGAAAGAAAGGTTCTTAAACCTTGTCCGACTAGATGGAATTACATGTATGAATGTTTAGTTGTTGCATATGAATGTAGAAACCAAATAAACGCAACGTTTAATGCTCATGTTGGTAGTGATGATGATGATGAGCACCTTACAAATCAGGATTGGACTAATGTTAAAATACTTGTAGACTTTTTAGAACAATTTGATGTTGCTACAAATGAATTATTTGAGCAATATTATCCTACTATTTCTAACTGTTTAGTTTATATTGCAGCACTTGCAAATTTGTTTACTCAATTTTCAGAGGGTGGGGTAATTTATCAGCTTGCTATTGATTCTATGAAAACTAAGTTTAAAAAATATTTTTTTCCAATCCCCCCTATTTTTGGTGTTGCTGCCATGTTAAATCCTACCATGAAATTAGGAGGTCCTCACTTTGGTATACAAATATTTATAAGGCTTTATCACTTTCAGATGAGGAATTTGCTACACTTGCAGATGCAAAAGCCTCAATTAAAATAAATGCTCAAACAATTTATAATGCCTATCAACTTGCCTTAGATCATGCTAGACCAAATGTTCCAACTCCTACTTCGTCTAGTTCGCAATTATCTAAAATAACTGCGGGCCTAAAATCACTTAGTTATTGGACGGAGTTCAGGGGTTCTCAAGGTGATAATATTGGTGACAATTCACAACTAAATGAGCTTGAAGTTTATTTGTCGCAGGGACTTGAATCAGAGAATCCCGACGGCTCCTTTGATGTTTTGGAATGGTGGAAGGATAAAGAAAAATACTATCCGATTCTTTCAAGGATGGCTCGAGATATTTTAAGTATTCAAGCTTCAACAGTGGCATCGGAGAACACTTTCAGTCAAGCGAGACTTCAAATCGGTGATCATAGAGCGTCTATGAGGGAGAGCTTGGAAAAATCAATACTCTTCAGAGATTGGAGCCGTTCGGAAAGAAGAAATTTTGGACTTGCTAAATCACAACCGGATATAGACGAAGCTTATGAAGAAATGCTAGCGGAACTTGCACAGGATGCTGCTTCGCACAGAAGCGGTAATGAACAAGCTTCTTTTCCGCCACCACAAACGGAAATTCCTCCGGACCTTGAAGGATTTATGAAATTTGTTAGAGATAATACATAGACTAATATGTAACTTGTATTTTGGCACATCTTCATTAATTTTTTTTCCTTTTAATGGTGGCATTAGCACCTTGTTGTGCTTCCATTGGGGGGAGGAAGACTAAGAAAGATATTGCAATTTTTTGTTAATGTCATAATAATAAAAATTATAATGCATTCCCTTGGATATTTCTTTGCAATTTATTTTTTGTTTAAATTTGAATTAGAAGATTTAAGTCACAATTGTCACACCTCCTTTTTCCGCACCCGCGAGGGCGCAAGGGAGTTTTTTCCAATTAAATGACAATCGAAACGGGATTGGTTTATTTATTTCAGGGTCGCTACTTGGGAGATTTAGGGTGTCCCAAGTCACCAATTTTAATCCCGAATCGAGGAAAAGAATGACTC